AAATTGCACTGCGTGCGTCCTCTAACCTCAAGTTTGTTTACGTGTGTCTAGTCCAGGACGTCACAGTTAGTTTACGGACTTGGGAATAATTAATGAATGGTGTTACGAGGAAACGGAACTCATGAGTTTTACGTCTTGAAAACAGCACCCCCCCCCCCAACCACCCTACCCCTTAAAAAAATTTTCTTCTGTAACTAGCTAACTAAGTGTCGCTATTCCTACAACAATGCATACATTTTTACTCCACGCAACAAATAAGCATTTAGATTGGTTTCATCCACCCACGCACTCCAGTTTTTTTTTTGTGTGTCTTTCTTCTGTAACTAGCTAAAGAAGTTTAACTATTCTAAAACAATGATTCTCATACATGTTTACACCACGCAACAAATGAGCATTTAGATTGGTTTCATCCACCCACGCACTCCAGTTTTTTCGTGTGTCTTTCTTCTGTAACTAGCTAAAGGCGTGTAACTATTCTGAAACAATGATTCTCAAATATTTTTGACACCACGCCCCAAATTTGGTTTAATCCACCCGTTACTTTTTTTTTTCTTTTGCTCATTATTTAAATTGAAAAACTTCAAAATAGCATCGCCAGGAAACAACATTCGCAATCAGTTTGACCTTGACATTCAACGGCCCAGGATAAAACTCCNTTTTCCTTACAGCAAATGAAAAAAAAGTCAAAGTATCTAATTTAAAAAAGGGTTCTACCAAGAATTGCCCCCCCCCCCCCCCCCACTCCCCGTCACTTGCTTTGCGTTACAACGTACATGCATGGTCCATATCAGAAGCTAAATGTTACAACGCACGCTTCAAACCCTACTACCCATGCAGCTAACTTGGGGGAAAAAACAGGAATAAAAAAACAAAAACAACCAAACAAAAACAAAACGGTGGTAGTGAGAGGTTCACTGGTGATAAATACAGCGAAAGACCAAGAAACAGTAACTCTTGCTTCTACAACGCCGATGTGATCTTAGTGATTGTTTACCCTTGTGGTGCAAGCATTACAACTAAATTGGACCAATATTCGCTCAATATGGAAGACATAACTTCCCATTGACAGAAAGGCAACGGCACGCAAAATGTGTGACAGAGGGTACACGTGCCGGTTGCGCCCTAGCATTGATTCGGGCACCACTTCGTCCTTCACGGGCCAGTTATACGAAAGAATCCCCGGAGATCAACGTCCTTGAAACGGTTGACTGAAGCTGAGCCAGGGTTTGGGTCTCAGCTTTGACTGCACGGGTCGAAACGGTTCCCTTTCCCTATACCCACACGCTTTTACAAATTACGTGAGTTTTAATAGGCACACAAATTTCTTGTTTTTTGCTAACTCCAAACAGGGCCGTGCTAAACAGGGGAAGAAGGGTCGTAGACCGCAGGTGTCTCAATTGGGTGGCGTCATAGAGCTTCATTATTCATGAAAAATATAAAGAAATATATAATTTTTTTGACTTAATTATTCCTAATACATTTATATTAATCACTCTATTCAAACAAAGTTCTGAAAAAAAAAATATTTTTAAAATCTAAAAGAAATCCAAAAAGAATAAACATTTATAATTTTTTTTAAGGAGAGGCGTATGTTTATCTTTAATCTATGCAGGTCGGAAAAAACAAGAGGAATAACTCCGAGTTGTTTAACGGCACGGACGTGACGTCGCTAATAGAAACAAAAGAACGGACAAATAAATCATGTGTCACAAATTGTATCCATGGAAGACCGATTTTACGACGTAAATTGCTCTCATGTGACAGGTCTACTACAATCAACAAATGGCTCGTCCCATTCAAAGAGATGTAAAACCGATTTAAAAAATTATAATAATAATACTTGTACCTGCAAATAAACGTTATTCCGTTCAACTAACGTGATTCCGTTCAACTAAACGTGATTCCTTCCAACTAAACGTGATTCCTTCCAAATAAACGTGAATCCGTTCAAATAAACGTGATTCCGTTCAAATAAACGTGATTCCGTTCAAATAAACGTTATTCCGTTCAAATAAAAGTTATTCCGTTCAAATAAACGTGATTCCGTCCAAATAAAAGCTATATGATTGTACTAGATTCAATAAATTATTAGTGCTGTTTAGTCATGTGTCAGAATTAGAATAGAAAAAACTAGATTCAATAAATTATTAGTGCTGTTTAGTCATGTGTCAGAATTAGAATAGAAAAATGCAATAAATATTAAATGTTATGGATTTAAAAAAAAAAAAAAATCCAATGTTCTTGTTTGACCACAGGTGTGGATTCTTGCAATGCCCACCCCTGCTCTCTTGGCTCTACCTGTGTGGATTTGGTGGATGGGTTCGTGTGTCTGTGTCCTACACACAGGACTGGGAGGTTATGTGAGACAGGTGAGTAGGGGAGGACTATGTCCTACACACAGGATTGGGAGGTTATGTGAGACAAGTGAGTAGGGGAGGACTATGTCCTACACACAGGATTGGGAGGTTATGTGAGACAGGTGAGTAGGGAAGGACTATGTCCTACACACAGGATGGGGAGGTTATGTGAGACAGGTGAGTCGAGGAGGGCTTGATCCTACACACAGAACTGGGAGGTTATGTGAGACAGGTGAGTAGGGGAGGACTATGTCCTGCACACGGAACTGGGAGGTTATGTGAGACAGGTGAGTAGGGAAGGACTATGTCCTACACACAGGACTGGGATGTTATGTGAGACAGGTGAGTAGGGAAGGACTGTGTCCTACACACAGGACTGGGAGGTTATGTGAGACAGGTGAGTCGAGGAGGACTTTGTCCTACACACAGTACTGCGAGGTTATGTGGGACTGGTGACTCATAGAATACTATAATCCCAGATCAGTTGTTCTCAACCATCCAAATGCCGCGACCCTTTAATACAGTTCCACATGGCGTGGTGAACCTTATCAATAAATTTATTTTCGTTGCTACTTGCTACATCATGTAGGTGTATTTTCCGATGGTCTTAGGCGACCAATGCGAAAAGTTCCTTCAACCCCCAAAGGCATCGCGACCCATAGTTTGAGAACCGCTGTCCTGGATAATGGACTTTTAGTTATGTGAGACGGGTGAGGCATTAGGACTATATCATAAACAAAGAACTAAGAGGTTACGGGAGACAGGTCAGTAAAGAGAGGATTATAGGGCGGATTCCCACACGATTCCCACCCCTTTTTTTTTCCCACCTGCAAAAAATGTTATTATTCAAATATCTTCTTCCCGCCAAAGAGAGTTGCGCTGCAAAGTTGTAGTTACTTTCTTGCAGTGGTCTCAAACTCAAATTATCCGGGGGCCACAGGATGAAGAGTCTGAGTGAGACTGGGCCGCATCAAGTATTCCACAAGAAGCGATTACAATTTCAATAAAGTACAACTGTTACAATCTGCTCAACCTTTTTTGAATAACAAATAAAAACATTAAGGTTTCTCAAGGACTAGGCTTCACTTTCTTCCTCCTACTTCATGTTGCCAAGAGACATGGAAGCGCTTCTTGTTACACCGCTCAGCAAAATTTTGCTTGAACAAGGAAGCAACTGAGACCCTCGGTATAGCTTTAAGATGCTCATTAGTCAATTTGGTCCTGAACTTTGATTTGATCCACTTGAATTCACTCATAAATTGCCCAAGCTTGTCTGTTTTTCCATTCACCTCCCTGACCTTAGCCAGGGTTTCAGAATTGCACTGAAGATCAATTAGCTCCATTTGAAGCACACGTACACACACAAAAAACAAAAAAAAAAAAAAAAAAAAAGGAAAAAGGGGGGGGGGGTGGTGGTGGAGGGGAGTAATCTTTCAAATCTAGTGAGAAAGTGTTCACAATTTTAGAAGTGTGTCTGTGTGTTTAAGGTCTGCAAACCTGTGATCGAATTCGAACTTTGGCCATGTTAGTCTCATAAAATGCTATAAAATAAAAACAATTTAGTCCTTTTTTTAACCATTACAATCAACGTCCAACTCTGTACAAACAATGACAATCAGAATTAGATTAGTCGGTGTGATTCGACTGAAACCCTCACGGAGTTTCATAAAATGTTTATAGTCATGATACACTTTGTTTGTATCCTTTAGTTATAGTCATAGTTACAGTCATCATAATGGTCATAGTCATAGTTCATAGTCATTGTCATAGTTATAGTCATTGTCATACTCATAGTCTTTGTCAAAGTCATTGTCATAGTTATAGTCATTGTCATACTCATAGTCTTTGTCTTTGTCAAAGTCATTGTCATAGTTATAATCATAATCCATCTCATATTATAGTCATGGTCATAGTCAAAGCCATTGTCATAGTTATAGTCATTCCCATAGTTATATTCATAGGCATTATCAATGTCATATTAATCATCATTGCCATAATCATAGTCATAATTATAGTCATAGTTATATTCATCGTCATATTCATTGTTTTAGTCATAGCTATAGTCATTGTCATAGTTATAATTATAATTATAGTCCTTGTCAAAGGTATAGTCATTGTCATAGCCATTGTCATAGCCATTGTCATAGCCATTGTCATAGTCATTGTCATTGTCATAGCCATTTTCATAGCCATTGTCATAGTCATTGTCATAGTCATAGCCATTGCCATAGTCATTGTCAATGCCATTGTCATTGTCATAGTCATTGTCATAGTCATTGTCATAGTCATTGTCATAGTCATTGTCATAGTCATTGTCATAGTCATTGTCATAGCCATATTCCTAGTCATTTTCATAGTCCTTGTCATAGTCATTGTCAAAGTGATTGCCATAGTTATTGTCATAGTCATTGTCATTGTCATGGTCATTGTCATAGTCATTGTCATAGTCATTGTCATAGTCATTGTCATAGTCATTGTCATAGTCATTGTCATAGTCATTGTCATAGTCATTGTCATAGTCATTGTCATAGTCATTGTCATAGTCATTGTTATAGTCAAAGTTATAGTCCTAGTTATTGTCATAGTCATTGTCATAGTCATTGTCATATTCATTTTACATTAGCATTGATTATTGCAGAAATCCAAGACTGCCGTGCGCACGGCTGCTTCAACTCCGGCCTGTGCACCCAGCTGAATCCCAACTCCAGCTTTGAATGCGTCTGTCCTAAAGGCTTCGTCGGGAAGCGATGTGAGCAGGAGTTGTGCTCCCCTGGTGCTTGTCAAAATGGCGGAACGTGCAGGGTCACCAGCAGAACCACCTTCGCCTGTGACTGTGTCGCCGGGTACAAGGGTAGTAACTGCGACGTCCTGGCTTCGTGTGACCCCAATCCGTGTCAGAATAACGGCCGATGTTTTCAAGACAGAAACGGAGAATTCGTCTGCCAGTGTGCAAGGGATTTCCGCGGGAAATATTGCCAGGATGTTGATTTATGTGCGTCCTCGCCATGTCTCAATGGAGGTCAGTGTGTCGTCCGGGAGGGCAGCACAAAGACACATTGCCAGTGTCTGCCATCTTTTTCCGGAGATCGTTGCCAGTATCAGGACTTCTGCGTCTCCAACCCTTGTTTTAATTCAGGGACCTGCTCTTCCAACGGAAACAGTTTCAGATGTGAATGTCCGCCAGGATTTTTTGGGGCTACTTGTCAAGTTTTAGATCCGTGTGCCAGATTGCCGTGTCAGCATGGCGGGACGTGCAGACGTGTAGTAGAGAGCGGGTATGTGTGTGAATGTAGAGACGGGTTCGACGGAAATCACTGTCAGAACCATGCGTCGTGCCGACGTCAACCATGTCTGAATGGGGGCAAATGTTTCCCTGATGGCGCAGATTACTTCTGCAGGTGCATGTCGGGTTTTTCCGGCATCAACTGCCAGAAGTCCAGCGCATGTTCTTCGAACCCTTGCCGAAACGGCGGCTCGTGTTACGAATCGGCGTCGACACACGTCTGCGTGTGTCCGGATAAAATGACCGGTAGATTTTGTGAAAACGAACTGACACCCGGTCCGTGCAGCAGCAACCCCTGCTTGAATTCTGGTTCCTGTTTCCAGTCCGGTAGCGACCATCTGTGTCTCTGTCCTCCAAGTTTGACCGGAAGTCGGTGTGAGCACGTTCTCAAGGCCACATGTGAAGGCCGCCGGTGTCAAAATGGTGGATCCTGCTACTCATCCGGAAACTCCAGTATCTGTGTGTGTCCTTCGGAATATTTGGGCGACATGTGTGAAATTAGGAACCCGTGTCACGCTGGTCGATCTATGTGTGGTTCTAACGGACTTTGTCAACCATGCGAGAAAGGAACTGCCTGCGGACCTAATGGAAGAAACTTCATATGTTCTTGTTTTCCCGGTCATCTTGGCGCTCACTGTGAAATCCCGGATCCTTGCGTCGCAGGTGCTGTAGTGTGTGGCGTAGAGGCGACGTGTGTTCCGATTCCAGCATTAAAAACGTTCACATGCCAATGTGTCACTGGACAGACGTCAAGGAACTGCAGCGTTTCCAGTCCTTGTTCATCAAATCCTTGTAAGAACAATGGGGTTTGCATGCCTCAGACTTTATCTTCCTCAGGGTACTCGTGCTCATGCAGAGAAGGATTCACTGGATCACATTGCGAACGTGTGCACCAGTGTGCACCTCAACACTGCGACAACAACGGGACGTGTTTCGAGGAGGTTTCCGATCAGGACAACACAATCAACGTTAGGTGCAGGTGCCCCCTGGGATTCTCGGGGGACCGCTGTGAACAACCCGAGACCTGCTCGTGTCTGAATAACGGAAGATGCGCCGAGGTCAGAAACCCCCAAGGTACCGGAAGGAGCAGCTACGCCTGCCAATGTCAGTACGGGTACAGCGGCTCAATGTGTGAAAGAGAACAGAACTGTCTTGTGGCGCCCTGCCTCAACCATGGCAGATGCGTGGTCAACTCTTCGGGTGTGCACGTCTGCTCTTGTCCGGGAAGTTTTCTGGGGAAGTTCTGCGAGACGCAACTGACGTGCGACATCGTTCCGTGTTTAAACGGGGGTGTGTGCCTACTCGAGAACATGGTCCCGCGATGTTTATGCCTGCCAGGGTTCACGGGCATGCGCTGTGAGCAGCTTGATACCAGTTCCGCGTGCGCCGTGATTTCTTGTCAAAATGGCGGCCGATGTGTGCCGGACAAGAACAGGGCGGGCGTTTGCGTGTGTTCCCGGGGCTGGACCGGAGATATGTGTGAGCAGCATGCCGGGCACGCGATTGGGGCGTGTCATCCAAGACTTTGTCTAAATGGAGGAACGTGCATTGAACCCATTGGTACGTCTTTAAATGTCTGTTTTGTTGTTTTGCAGTAAAAAATTTAATATTGAATATGTTGCCACTGAACCAATCTGAATAAGATTGTTCACGTTTTACAAACAGCGGCAGTCAACTCATGTCGCATAGGTTTTGCTCAAGATAAATAGAGAAAACTGTAGAACAACGATGACGCTTAACTATTCTTTCCACCTATTCCAAAAAATAGATCTTTAAGTTTATGATGTTACTGATCCATTTCTCCCTTCGCTACAGGAAACGATGGCCCCATGTGTCTCTGCGCCGTTGGCTACACTGGTGCCAACTGTGGACTCCCGATAGATCCGTGTTCAAGTCATAGCGCCTGCTTGAACGGCGGCACCTGCACAGTCCGGTCGTTAGCCCCGCCCTCCTACGTCTGCCGTTGTCCTAGCCATTACAGCGGTTCCAGATGTCAGATTAAACCCCGTGACCCCTGCACCCCCAACCCCTGCGCTAACAATGGCAGATGTTCTGTTGACAGCAGCCCCGGTGGCTACGTTTGCAGGTGAGTCGGCCCATTTTAAATTGAGGTCAAGCGGAACAGAGTTCCTAGTTGTCTTTGGAAAATTGTACATCATTTGATATTTTACAATAGAAAATATTTTACACAATAGAAATCGTACGAGGAAAGAAAAGTATGATTGAGTCATATATACCGTTCAGAGCTGGGTCAATAATCATCACACAAAGATAGGGAGAAAAATTCAAAATTCAATATCATTTAAAAATCTAAAAAATGTGATGTCTATTTTAAATATATATATATATATATATATATATATATATATATATATATATATATAAATATAAAAACAAAGATAGAGAGAAAAATTCAAAATTAAATATCATTTAAAAATATAAAAAATGTGATGTCTATTTTAAATATATATATATATATATATATATATATATATATATATATATATAAATATAAAAAATTAGTTCACGAGTCTTTTCGTAACGCCCTGTACTGGAGCAATAGTCTTTGGCCATAGAAGTGTGGTTTTGTTTCTCATGACTTAACATCAAGGTCCGGGTTGGGTTTGAATACAAAAAAATGGAGGAGTGAGATCTTTCGCTGAAGACATAAACTGGTCAGACTCATCAAAATTTTTCCCATTTGTTTCTTCTTTACTATATCAAAGTCTCCTTTATGATACTTTACGTAGTTCTGAATTTAAATTTTGTTCCAAGGTTAGGGGGTCATCTGTTGTGACCAATAGAACCAAAGAGAATGAAATGTCTGGGGGTTGACCTAAATTAAATTTCAAGTAATAATAAACCTTGAAAATGGCCATCGCTCTCCCCCCCCCACCCCGTTTAGAAAGAAACAACAACAACAAAGAAGAAAATATAATTTGCATAAAGGCGACTTCCACTACATTAATATGTCAACGTTTTACAACTACTTTGGTTAATGGTCAAGTCTTTGATCAGATCATCAAATCTAATCTTACGATCATCAAACCTAATCTCATAATCATCAAACCTAATTTTAAGAAATACATCATCAGCTTTCATACTAAGTAGGTATCTAGCATCATTTTCAGTTTTCAACAATAAGGTCGGTGGTAAGTCTCGTAAAGAAATGGTTTTCGGACACGCCACAATCGGTTTAGAAAATCCTTGATTTGATGCGTATTGGGTCCTGTAAACTACAAATATAACATTAAATATCATTGTCAATAGAAACACGGTGAGCTCATTATCTTTGTATTCAACTGCCAGATGTGAGCTGCCTTTTACAGGAGACAAGTGTCAGCTACAATCCATTGGAACTTGTTTATCTAACCAGTGTAGAAATATGGGAACTTGTTTGTAAGTACAATACACGTCTGTCTAACAAATGTAGAACCATTGGTTCATGTCTGCCTAACCAATGCTGAAACATTGGTTCATGTCACTCTAACCAATATAAAAACATTGGTTCATGTCTGTCTAACCAATGCTGAAACATTGGTTCATGTCTGTCTAAAAAATGCTGAAACATTGGTACATTTCTCTTTAACCAATGCTGAAACATTGGTACATATCTCTTTAACCAATGCTGAAACATTGGTACATGTCCCTTTAACCAATGCTGAAACATTGGTACATGTCTCTTTAACCAATGCTGAAACATTGGTACATGTCTCTTTAACCAATGCTGAAACATTGGTACATGTCTCTTTAACCAATGCTGAAACATTGGTACATGTCTGTCTAACCAATGCTGAAACAATGGTCTTTAGGCCCTTTGTTGCACAACTGGAACTCTTAGGTAAGAAACTTACGTTTACCAAAATGACCATGACATTAACACTGGCCATATTACATGGACACAACCATTCAACAGAGAAGTCCCGCCCCATTCGTTTGTCTGCCGATGCCTGGACGGATGGCAGGGCCAGTACTGTCAACTTTGGGCGGCTGAAAGTGGTTTGTGCCCCCCAAACTTCTGTTCAGGACGTGGCGTGTGTTACCTGGGCAAAGACCACGAGCCGACGTGTCGATGTTACAGTGCATTTGGGGATCATTGTGGCGAGTACCTAGTAAAAATAATATCAAGATTTCCCAAACTTTAAAAAAAAACTATCAGAAAACATTTGAATAACTCAAGTCTAATCGCTTCTCAACTTTGTTGTTTTTCATCTGCTTTTAAACATTTTTTTCCCGTTTATAACAATTAAAAAAATAAAAATAAGTATATGAAGGTGGTAATCTTTACAAAATAAATACAAAAAAGTTAATTTTTAGACGAGGTTGAACAAAATTATTACTATAAAGTTTAATCTTCCTTTGAAGTGTGACTGTTTCTTACCATCTGACTCTAGCATGGTCTTGTGTGACCGTTTCTTACCATCTGACTCTAGCATGGTCTTGTGTGACTGTTTCTTACCATCTGCCTCTAGCATGGTATTGTGACTGTTTCTTACCATCTGACTCTAGCATAGTCTTGTGTGACTGTTTTTTTACCATCTAACTATAGCCCTAGCATGGTCTTGTTTGACTCTAGCATGGTCTTGTTTGACTCTAGCATGGTCTTGTGTGACTCTAGCATAGTTTTGTGTGACTGTTTCTTAGCATCTGACTAGAGTCTTATTTAATGTTTGTTATTTTAAGTGTACGTAAATGATTTATTTTTTTTTGTGTGGATGTTAGCTGACTTTGTGCCTCATTCATGACAAGCTCCCGTGTGATTTATAAATTATTTTATTACAGCTATGAATAATGAGATTCAATTTTCTGTTTTTAAATCCAGAATACACCTGTGGCGTGCTGCAGAGTGGTCTAATCCCCCACCCCGAGGAATGTGGCCTGTACGTCATGTGCGTGTGGGGGAAACCTTACGTCATGCAGTGCCCCAGGAGTGACCTCCACTTCAACCCCAGACTCAGTATATGTGATTGGCATGGCAGGGCGGGCTGCACTTCAAGGTCGGGGTCATCAGAGCAGGAGTACTATGGTGTGTTGTGGAGAATCCGAACATAATGGCATTCAAAAAAAAAAAAAAATTGTGACAAGTCCATGTTATTGTTATTTTTGTGTATTTTCTTTGAGACCGTTTGTTGAAAACATGGTCAATCAAACTTGTTACCAGGTTCCTTGTACCAATGACAGTTCAAATGAATTGATCTGTGCCATAAATGATCAAATTATTACTAAAATAAGAAATGAATCATGTTGGACATTTGAACCAATATGGACGTGAAAAAACATAGTTGGGAGTGCTACCATTAACATCAGGACATCACATAACACAGTAGGGAGTGCTACCATCAACATCAGGACAAGACATAACTGACATAACACAGTCGGGAGTGCTACTATTAACATCAGGACATGACATAGAACAGTTGGGAGTTCTACCATGAACATCAGGACATGACATAAGACTATTGGGAGTGCTACCATTACCAATTTGAATTGCCATATTATACTTTCTTTTCGATTGGAGATTCTTATTTATATGAATTTTTTTTTCTTTCTTTCAAATTAAACAAGTGGCAGGTGGTCTTTCATAAGATGACATTGTTATTCAACTATTGATTGGCTTCATAACTAATTAAAATGTTCCATCTATCACCATAATCTGCCACTTTTTTTAAAAGATAACACAAACAATTATTATAGAGCAGAAATAGGAACATCAAGTAACCTGCTGATTGATAATCCTTTTTTCTTATTTAGAAATGTGTTCAATGGCAGCTTATCCAAGTAGAAAATTTGATGTGGTTAGAATGGCAGTCCTCAAAGTGGCTGTGCGTGGGCAGTCCTCAAAGTGACTGTGTGTGGACAGTCCACAAAGTGGCTGTGTGTGGGCAGTCCTCAAAGTAGCTGTGCGTGGACAGTCCTCAAAGTGGCTGTGCATGGGCAGTACTCAAAGTAGCTGTGTGTGGGCAGTACTCAAAGGGGCAGTGTGTGGGCAGTACTCAAAGTGGCTGTGTGTGTGCAGTCCTCAAAGTGGCTGTGTGTGGGCAATCCTCAAAGTAGCTGTGTGTGGGCAGTCCTAAAGGAGACGTGTGTGGGCAGTCCTCAAAGTGGCTGTGTGTGGGCAGTCCTCAAAGTGGCTGTGTGTGGGCAGTGCTCAAAGTGGCTGTGTGTGGGCAGTCCTCAAAGTAGCTGTGTGTGGGCAGT